TATCCAGTTATACTCAGCTTTGAGAATCACTGTAGTAAGAAGCAGCAATATAAATTGGCCAAATATTGCGATGAGATACTTGGTGATTTACTATTGAAGGAACCCCTTAAGGATTTTCCTGTAAGTTTAAATTAAATCAAGAAAAAGAAAAAGATAAAAACAAACACACACGCACACATACATACACACAAAAAAAAAAAGGAAAAAGAAAAAACACTTCACTGAGAAATAATCTTATATCGTAGAAAATATGAATATTTATGAAGTACTCGTTGATCATAAATATTACGTCGATGATCATCGGCTCGATAAAATTTCATTGGCCGATAAAGATCAACTGTCGAACATATAATAATCATGTACTATGTCATAAAACAGCTGGAACCAGGGGTATCGTTGCCATCGCCTAACATGTTGAAGCGTAAGATACTTATTAAAAATAAACGTCTCAAGCCAGAAGTGGAGAAGCAAGAACTCGAACTGTTCAAACAAGGGCAATTTGTAATCGAAGATGAAGTTAAAGAGGACGCAAGTGCGCCACCTGTCGTAGCTGCAGTCGTTGAACAGCAACCTTCGAAGGTAAAGTATCTTATAATAAATTAAAAGATAAGACGATCGAGATTTGACCTTGTTCAATGTCCATACTCGTACTATGCTGATAATAATGTTTCCTCCTTGATCTTCAGGATGAAACTTCGACGGATTCAATGACGTCATCGACAACCGGTGTTCAGCAACAGCAATCTGGCAGCGGTCCAGCTGGTCTCGGCGAAAGCTTGGAATTGGCTGTGGCTCAACCATATACCGGAAGTACGACGAACGTTCATCCGTGGCTTTCTTCCATGGTCAATTACGCTCAGCCAATAAAGTTTCCGGGTTTTGACGTCGCCGAACGTATGGATTAATAATTACGATTATTATATTATATTGATATCGTTATGAGATTACTTTTCCCATATAGATATATATATATTGTATATAATTGTATCTTTTATAGAAAAGAACATTCATCATAATATGTCTTCCTTCGCGGAAACAGCCGGACTGAATTATTTAAAGACATCTGCCATTGAATTCGTTAATTATAATAAACGTCAAATGAGTCGTATATATCCAAAGGGTACTCGAGCTGATTCCTCGAATTATATGCCACAGGTAATTTTGAACAATAAGAAAGTATCATTTAGTAAATAGAAAAGAATCGTTGTACTAGTCTTTTCGGTCGATCGATCGATTCTTTTAAACTAGGTCTTCTGGAACGCCGGTTGTCAAATGGTGTCACTGAACTTTCAAACGGCGGATCTGCCGATGCAACTAAACCAGGGCAAGTTCGAATATAATGGATCCTCTGGGTATCTTCTCAAGCCGGATTTCATGAGACGTGCTGATAGAAGTTTCGATCCGTTTGCTGAAAGTCCAGTCGATGGTGTAATAGCTATACAATGTAGCGTACAGGTAAAGTATCGATAATTATTCCTCGAATATGTACGGTCTATCATTTCTAAAAAATTTTTTTTTTTTTTTTTTTTTTTGTTAGGTAATAGCGGGCCAATTCCTTTCGGACAAAAAGGTTGGTACCTATGTCGAAGTAGAAATGTATGGTTTACCAACTGACACAATAAGAAAAGAATTTCGTACAAGAGTCGTACCAGCGAATGGTCTCAATCCGGTATACAATGAGGAGCCTTTCCTCTTTAGAAAAGTTGTATTGCCGGATTTGGCAGCTTTAAGATTCGCCGTCTATGACGAATCAAACGGAAAGCTTCTTGGCCAAAGAATAGTTCCTTTAGACGGTTTGCAATCTGGCTACCGTCATATTTCTTTACGTACCGAGGCAAACTTTCCTATGTCTTTGCCTATGCTCTTTTGCAATATAGAAATAAAGATCTACGTACCGGATGGTTTTCAAGGTAAGAATGGACAGTTCATATTGATATACTCTATTATATCGATTTCTTTTATTTCAATAGAATTTATGGACGCTTTAACTGCACCGCGTGCATTCAAGAACAACGAAAGTATGTCGCAGAATAAAATGCGCGGACTTGGGATCGAGGAGAGTGACAGTAAAAGTAGTTCAAATTCGATGCCTACTAAACATCAAGAAGCTGCGAAGCCTAGAGGTAATTAGGAAAATGAAAAAGAAAGAAAGAAAAAAAGGAGAAACATGACTTATTTCATTTTTAAAATTGAATTATCAATGAGATCAATTAATAATCGTCAATCGTTTGTTTCACAGAGGAAATAAAATTCGATCCGATTACAGTGGAATCCTTGAAGTTAGAGAAAGGTTATCAAAAGGTTTTGAGAAAGCAGCAAAAGGAATTGGAATCTTTGAAGAAGAGGCATCAGAAGGAAAAGATGACCGTACAAAAGCAACATTGCGTTGCTATAGAAAAGATAATCAAAGGAAAGAAGTAAGCTATCAAATATTTTCTATTTTTCTTTTTTTTTCCTTTTCCAATAGAATATAGCCCGAAGTTATGGATCCTTTGAAAGGGTCAAAGATATTTTAAGTTCGATAGAAGAAGAAGAAGAAGAAAAGAAAAAAGAAATATTTGTTTGTTGTCTTTTCAATATTTAGCAAAGCAGAATTATCGAGAGATCCGATAATACGACAAGCCGTGAACGAGCAAACGAGTCAATGGTCACGATTAGCTGATAGGCAACGTCGCGAGGAACGTGAATTAGTACGAGTTCATCTCGAGGAACGTCGTATGCAATTGAAGAAATCATGTATGACAGCTCAGGTGACACAACAGAAGCAGCTGACGGCAAGACACGAGCGTGAGATTAAAGAGATGAATACGAGACAGGCAAAGTTATCGGTCGAGAGTATGAGAGAGGTGATGAACGATAAGACCTTAAAGACGCGGGGTATCAAAGAGGGTAGGCTCAGGGAGAAACAACAAAACAATACAAAGAAATTCATGGAGGAACGTAAGATAGCACAAATGATACAGAACAGGGAGAAGGAGAAGTTAAAGGTCATACACGAGAAGCAATTGGAGGAGCTGCAGAAAGATATGAATGCGGTAAGGGACGAGGTATAGTGATCAGATTACGATAATCATATATATATATATATATATATACATATTATTCGGGCATATTATTTTAATATTATTATCGAAAGTTCAACGTTCATGATATGTTGGATACGAAAAACAAAAAAAAAAAGAAAAAAAGCAATCGCATACGAAGACATGGTCTTTTTTCATTTATTTTATTTTTTTTTTTTTTTTTATTTTCTTCTATTTTTTTCTTTTCTTTTGCAGATCATGGATATGTACAAGAACGAAGAAATGGAATACGAATTGGGACCGAAGACCGAATTTTACGCGTGATTTCTTTTTGATTTACTTTCAGCAATTGCTCCAAGTCACGAGACACCGTCCACAATGGGACGAGCATCCTTTTAGGACCTCTTAACTATGGGATACGCAGTATCAGTAATTATAATTGGAATTGGGATCAAGCCTCATTAATTGTCGTTCACGAATCTTTCATTGTTCATATATAAGTCCAGGAACATTGGAAGATACGAAAACGTCAAGTTAATCAAACCTAACGTAACTAGTTAATCGTTCTGAATATTTTTTTATAAAAAACTGAACAAAGAAAAAGAAAAAAAGACAAAAAAAAAAGAAAAAAGATAAAACAAGCAAACAAAAAAAAAGAACACAGGAGAGAAAAAAAGAAAGATCAGTATATATATATATATATATTAATATATGTGTATATACTGATGTATCTCCACGTTGTGTCCATCGCTGCGCGAGCAAAACTATTTAGGATAATAAGAAAGTCAATACAACTAAAGTGATCTAGTCATGTTCTCCTATGGTATATAATAAGTATAAAATATTTTATACATATACAAATACATATACATATATATATATATATATATATATATATATATATAGGTACGTGTATGTATAAATATTTTATATATATGTCATGGTACAATATAAGGTACATGAAAGAAACACAATAACAATATATAATATAAAAAGAGAGTGTATACATATATATATATATATATATATATATATATATATATAACGTAATATATTATGAAACGTTTATATATATATATATATTAAATATATTATATATAATATAACAACGTGATCCAACAACCAGGCCGTTCGAATTAACACACCATTGAATTTATTGAACCAGATATTTTTTGATCGTCGAGGTTATTGTCAGATTCTATTGAACGTGCATCTATGCGAGGAAAAAATTCGCATGGATGCACGTATCTCTCTTTATGCCTAAATGTCATAAAAATAATGCTACAGTCTTTAACTGTGATGATATCACGACCATATTATAAATGATATGATTATAATGTTGAAATGAAACTTTCATTGTGGAAGGTAATAGTCGATAAAAATATATTAATATATCGACGAATAATAGAGTATTAAATAACAGCTCCTTGGAGTAATTTCTTCGGACTGAATGCGTATAATAATAAAAATACTTATATATATATATATATATATATATATATATATATATATATATATACCACTTTGCGAAAATCGTTCATCTTTTTCAGAAAACTTTATCTCTTGGTCCAAAGTGGGTGAACAAATCGTGAGCCAAATACCACTGTAAATAGCTTTAAAATCGGAGCCTAGCATAACTAAAATCACAAATACCACGTCGTTGTTTTCATTATAATATAACGTTATTTAAATATAAGTTGTTATACTAATTTATACGTACATATATGCGTACTTCTGTGTAAAATTCGGATTGTACCTTAATTATGTATGTACGTACTAAAACGACACATATACGTACGTATATGTATAACGAAAATGATAATGAAAATGAGAAAAAGATAAAGAAACAAAAAAAAATAAATAAATAAATATATATATATATATCTATAAAGACAAAATAAAAGAGATTAATAGTCAAATATTGTAAATCATTTATTATCATCGACGTTATGAAATAATATCTATGGTAACAAATTATTATATATGATGTCCTTCGATATTATGATCGTCGAAATGATTTTCATAATGTTCATCGTAATATGGATGAGGTTCTGTCTCTATATCGTGATAAGACGATGATAAGATTCCATTAAAAGTTGATATTTCTAAAAGTAAACAATTAATACATATACATATATATATATATGTATATACATTATTATTATTATTATTATATTTTATTTTAGGAAATTTTATATGAAAGCACTATTACTCACCCGCATGTGATTCATCAACGTGTCCCAATTCATTAGAGTGTTCTAAAATTGGCACGATATCGCTGTCATGATGTACTGTCAAATCCAAATCACTCACTCCGTTCACATAATTCGATGAAAGAGGCAGATCTTCGTAATTATCGACGTGTACATTTTGATAGCTGGTTGCACCGTGTCCGTGATCAATCGTTCGAAAATTCGGAAAATGTTCGTACTCTAATTGACGTGGTATTCTCGCAGCATCGCACATGGCTATTGCCATGATATACAACTGAATGGAACAGAGCAAGAAAAAAAAAAAGAGAAAAAAAAAAAGCATTGAAAAATTAACACGTCAATGTTTTCAGTGATAGATCGAATCTTTTTCACTCGTTTTCCGAATGAAAGAAAAAAAAAAAGCAAAAAAATAAGAAGAAGAAGAACGAGGAAACAAGAAGATTCTTTTTACGAAAAAAAGAAGAAGAAGAAGAAAAAAAAAATTAAGACAAACTCACAAAGTATTTCATAGCTTATTTACTTGTCGAACAGTCTCGCCTATTTCTACTGTGGTGTATCTGAAGAAGCAACGTTAGTTTTATACTCGGTTTCCCCGAAAGAAATGTTGAAATATCTGATGCGAATATCCATGCTAAAGTACGAGCGGATGTTTATAATCAGCAATAGACTCCATGGCGTATCTTCTCTAGGACAGGATACATCGGATTCATGGTCTCGAGGTATATACGTGGGTATGGGAAGGTTGAGATTTGGTCTAGAGAGCTAGTAAACAACATGTAAGTACGATGTATGGTTTCTAAACGGAGATTGAACCTCAGTTGCCGAAGGCATTGTGCAATTGGCTACGTAGCGTTACGAATGTATGACGAAACGACGCTGTGGATTCTTTGAAATCTCTTGGAAACCGTACACGTAATTAGTTTTCTATCGTATCATTGATTTCTTAGGAGTATAGATAATAACTACGTCAAACTTTAAAATATTCTTTGTACGGTTTCCACGGTTTTACGCGATTTTCATTTCTAAAGAATTTTATTTATTTCCTACATTCACAATTAGGTTGTTAGAATGAGAAGAGATACTCGAGTTATGTACACGGTTACTCTCGTCTATTCACGAAAAAAAAAAAAAAAAATAAAAAAAAAAGTAAAAAAAAAAAAAGAAATAAATAACCCCAGTGATTTCATAAGAGGGATACTTACAAAATTTGGTGAGATCTAAAAGACTAAAGGAAATTCGAAGAAGAATAATAGACCATTTTAAAGCACGAGCGTGGGATATGATAAAACTTACTATTGTCGTAATTACGTAAGACAGATTATTTATTGGTAGAGAGTGTAGACATTACAAAAGTGCATTTTTACTAAATTACGATCAAGAAAGGTGGCTCATTATGGCAGGTAATTGTAGCTCGATTGTTTTGATCTATTTCCATTAGGAAATAGCTCATTGTTTCTTGTGAGCTAAGTTGTCTCTCTTACTTCATGATGGTCAAGAGAATCGATGGTGATTAAATTAGGTTTTTTTCTCGGCTTCATGTGATCCTTATGATTTCAGTCGCACATAGGTTTCGCTACTTTGACAATAGCTGGAGGTGGATGAACTGGAGCAGGTGGAAGATAGACGGGTTGATGTACTATTGGAGGCGGTTGAGCAATTTTCACATATGATACTGGAGCTGCCTGTATGTGAACAACTTTAGGTTGCGCTGGTGGGATGTAGGAAATAGGTTGTGGGGCTGGTTTTTGATATACATAGCCAGAAACAGCTGGTTTTTGATAAACATATCCTGAAACAGCTGGTTTTTGATAGACAATTCCTGGTTTTTGATAAATCACCTGCGTTTGTACAGCAGGAACTTCGTATTTTTTAAAATAAATTTTCGGCGCCTCATATATTGGCTTTTGATAAGCCGGGGCATAAGAATACATTGGCTTTTGATAAATCACTTTAGCCGGTGTATAAGATGGCACCCATGGTTTGACGACAGATTGAATCGGATGGACCGAATACGATGGTGCATGAACGGGTTGATAACTTATTACCTGCGGTTTCACGTAAGTCACCGATTGTTTTGGAATAATTGAGTAACTCGGTTGATGACTTGATATATATTGTATATGAGGTGGTGATTGATGGACTGTCACTTCCTTTTTCGGATAACTGGGTTGTTCATAAGCTTTTACAAGAACAGCTGGTTGATGATATGCGGGAAGGTGGTACTGCGGTGGACAAGGGTCTTGAACGTAGCCCCTTTTCAATTTGGACAATGAAGAATCCATTGTACCGGAATCCATCATGTCCATATGAACGCTGTGCGAACGAACGCTCGCCAGCCATAACAGGCATGGTATCTAAAGATTAGAAAGGAATATATACTAATGGAAAGATAAAAGAAAAAAAAGAAAAAACGACGTTTTTACTTCGGATATCGTTTTCTATATAAGTATGAAACATATAACGGGCAGTCGGAGCGAGCAGGGTGACAAGATTTCTCTTTAAAAAAAAAAAAGAAGAAAAAAAATAAAAAAAAAAAAAATAAACAAGAGTCCAGGCTAATAAAAATATGCAGAAGCGTGCGAAGTTTCCCTCGTGCCAAAGTAGATTATATCGTTGAGTTAGAGAAAAGCGTCAAGGAGAAAAGCGTTTCGCTGATGCGTATCGCTTACCAGTAACCTCAGCATGATTAACTTTGTCTTCCTTTTATTATCTTGAAATGGTTAGTATAAGATGACCGATAGAATGAATGTCCTGAACGAAACTAAAAGCGCGTCGTTGGTACTTGCCGGTTTTATAAACTTTTCCACGGCTTAGGCGGCATAAGTAACTTGTTGACCGAAGTCGATTGAGATTCCCTTAAGCGGCGTAAAAAGCAGCCGTTGTGCGTTCAAGCCCTGTAATGATGCAATTGCTCGCGCCCCGGTATTTCCTGAATAAATTCTGCGGCTCTTGTAAGAACCTATGTATGTATATATATATATATATGTACATACATACATAGATATCTTGGGCACGGCCGAGTAGTTGACGTTTTATACCGGTGACGGGGTTTACGACACATGGACAAAACCATTTGAAATAGGCGTGCACAGATAGAAGTCGAAGATCGCTGGAGGTATAGCCCGAAGGTAACGATCGCAACGATAACGCGATGGTTAGAACGACGTATCCGCATTTTCGAATAAAAGCTAAGGATCTTTTTCTATTGGACGATTTTTCTTTTCTTTTTTCTCTCTCTCTCTCTCTTTTTTTTTCCTTCTTTTTATCCTTAAGATACAGAATTTTATAATACTCTTTGCCTCAGGCCTATTGAGCTAATAAATTACGAAGTGATCAATGACGTTTGTCTTTACTAGAGCCGTAAGTTATAGCCACGTTATGAAATGGTTATAAAAGCTGTGTTTAAATAAAATAAAATAAAAAAAAAAAAAAAAAAAAAAAAAAACAAGAAAAAAGAAAATAGATAAATAAAGAAATAGAAAAAATAAAGAAACAATCGCCATGTCCAGATTAAATTAATGATTTATCTCTCGAGAAAGATGCTCGCCGTGGCGGTTCTTTTGTTTTCGATCTTATAGTAAACGGGGTCAGTCTGTATCTCACAAGTAAATGATTCTTGAATTAAAAAAGGTAATGTTACAGCGGTAGAATGCAGTTCGCTAAACGTCTTGGTATAACCACAATTAAGCCTCGTACTTTCGAATCCTTTCAGTCACCCGAGCGATTTGGCTTAAACGGTCATGTCACCCGAGGGAGAAAAGTAATCACCTAACGACCCGTACAAATGGACAATTTTTATTTAACAAAAAAAACAACGATACATTATATAGATAACATTATTTACAAAATGTGTAAGCTTAACTAAATTTTAAATTATAAGTTACTCGAGTAACGCGTTTTTTTTTTTTTTTTTTTTTAAATCTTTTCTCTTTTTTTCATTATTTTAATTTAATTAACATATACTCTTTTTTTTGGCAATAAATTTGTCGAGTTTACGTGTCATTTCACGTCAATGTTTCCAACCGTGTCCTTTACTTTGATGATGGAAAACATGCTTATAAACTGGCACATGGACCGGATATGGTTTTGGTATTGGTACTGGAAAATGTTTCTCGACTGTTACTGCATAAGGCTTCTCAACTACGTACGGTACCTAAAAAGAATTTCTTTTAATTTATACGTACATATATGGACTTAGGGGACTTTCAATTAAACGAAGAAAAGTAAGGATCGAAAGTAAAATATATATGTATATATATCTATAAAATCAAAGTCGATAAAGTAGAAATTACAGTAAACTGTATTCTCTAATTCGTGGTCTAAACGTTTACCGATCGATCAACGCTTACCTTCTTTTCAACCACATATGGTTCAGGCTTTTCTACAGGAATCTCAACGTGTTTAACTACTTCCACAGGCACCGGATGTGGCACTGGTACCTCTACTTGATACGGTTGTGGTATCGGTACTTTAATCTGCTGCGGTATAGCAACTGGTACTGGATGTGGAATCGGTATAGCGTATTTCTTATAGATCGGTATTTCCACGGCTTTAGAAGTTTCATGATAGGTAGAACCACCATGGTCTTCCTCGTAACCTGCCCATACAGCAGCCACCATACTGGCTAATATCTATATTTTGCAAAAAAATATATTATCAATGATAAATATATATATATATATATATATATATTTATTATCGAACAATTGTTAATTTATTTTATTACGATGACTCATTCACTCTTAACAAAATCCTTTTATATATTACGTATTTATTAAGAAATAATATAAATTATTAATAATTGAAATTTATTATTATAAAATTTTAATTTCATTACTCACAAAAAGTTTCATCTTTGACTTCAAATGACTTGCGCGAATCTAGCACTCCCGCAAATCCCGTTCTCTGCACCGTACGTTTCACCGTCTCTTTGATACTTTCAAAGTCACGGCCAAGAGTTTATATACCAATGCAACTTTCTCCCTTCTCCTCATTACAACAACGGTTGATGCTCGCTTGGTTGTAGAGGGTTAGTGTAAAGCTGTCCATCACGCTTCTGTGCAAATGTAATCGTGACTCGGTAGATTTTTAGGTGCAACATTCCGTTTTGCATTCATCATACGAAAACCTATTATTATTATTTTCCCATATCAAAAGCAAATGAAAGTTGATTCATCGGTCTCATAAAGATTGTCGTTAAAAAAAAAATAAGAAAAAAAAAATAAATAAATAAAAAATCATCAAAAAGTCCAAAGAAATGTTAATCTATTAAAAAGGAAAAATGAAAAATGGAAGAAAAAAAAAATTAAAAAAAGGAAAAAATAAAAATGTATGCTTTCGTTTTATATTATGATAAATGATTTTATTATGATAAAACCGATTGAAAGTTAAGAAGGAGAGAGTCGATCTCTATCTCTCTCTCTCTCTCTCTCTCTTTCTTTCTTAGGTATATTTTTTAATAAAAATTATCAAAATTATCATAATAGAGGTAATTCTCATGGACAGAAACGAAAAGGAGAACGAACTAACTAAAACAGCGTAACACAATGTCACGGTCTAATTTTCTTGATTAACGATCTGTGAATAATTCCCTTACTATCGGATATAAATTAACGAGAGAATATTTAAATGCCAATGGCTATGGGTGGGAGGAGAGGGAGGAGAGGAAGGAACGGGAGACAATATCATATGCATGTAAATTTAGTATTATCTAAAATTTACAAAGGGTCGTAAAGTTCAACGAAACGTAAAAATACAGAACCCAAACTCATCGGTTATTTAATAATAAATCTTTTCCGAATATATAATTCAACTAATTTAGATGATGATGAATGACCCAAGTATATATATATATATATATATATATATATATATATATATTTATATATTGTTCTGTAAGTATTATATCCATGTAAAAAGAAATTTATGGTTAAAGGACGTCGAGATGAGAAAATTAGAAGAAAGTTAAATCGAGTTATTTCACATTCTTCGTGTCGATATTAAATGAAATAAACAAAGAAAGAGAGAGAGAGAGAGGGAGAGGGGAGGGGTAAGGGAGAAAGGGAGAAGAATAGAAGACGAAATATATTTATGTTGAAACATTTATTATATTTTATCTGTATATTTCTGAAAGGTAAGATCGTGCGAGGGGTGTGGCCAGGTATGGAACAGTCGATCTCGAGATTCGAATCGTCGGTGATTCTATCCAGTATCTCGGAGCGGAACAGTGAAAGTGCATCCCAAGTAAAAGTGGTTTCACACGTCTGCGTAAGGAACGCGCTAACGTCTTGTCGAGTTAAGCCAGGCCGTCAAGCTTGTTATGGGGAATCGAGATCATGCAGCTGCTGGTTTGTTTTCAAAGTTAAATCGTAACTATGAACAAACGAGGAAACAAAATACCGGATAAGACGTTCGACTTCCTATTTATTTTTCTTTACTTCCGGAATGAATGAAGGAGGAAGAAGAATAATTTCAAAGGAAAGAATTTGGAAAATTCACAACTTCCTTTTTTTTTTCTTATCTTTTCCCTTTTATTTATTTATTTATTTATTTATTAATTTTGTTTTTTTGTTTTTTTTCTTGGAAACACATCACGTTCTTTTTCTTTTGAAAGTTAATATTTCAAATGTCGAAAAGTCCAATGAAATAGATTATTTCTTTTGCTTTTTTCTTTATTATTTCTTGACGATATCGATCTATTTTCAACGATTCTTTCTTTTATTTTTTCTTTCCCTCTTTTTTTTTTTTATTCGTGATAAACTAGTACTTATTTTTTTTGTGGTTTTTTTGGTTTTTTTTTTTTTTTTTTTTTTTTTCTTTTTTTTTAGGAAAATATATAGAAAAGGAAGAAAAACTTAACAAAAGGTAATATAAAAAAAAAAAAGAAGAAAAAAATAAAACAAGTAACAAAATTAATAATCGTAACAACGCGAGAGAGAAATTTCATTGTGGATATCTCGTCCCGTGGAAAAAAACATTTCATCTAATGATACTCGTAATAAATTAATGACGTTCTTAAATTATTATATCGATTAACGTCCTTCGAATAGACAGAATCGCTTTTTTTCTATTCTTTTTTTTTTCCCCTAACTTCTTCCTTTTTAATGCCATCCCTTGCTCTTCGATGTGTGGTGGAAAACGTGTTTGTAGATTGGAACGTGGACGGGATATGGTTTCGCCACGGGAACCGGAAATTTCTTCTCAACGTAAACTGGATACGGCTTTTCCACGACGTAAGGGACCTAAAAATGAAGATATAATGTGCCATTATAGCCTTCACGCTCGTTTGGAGCTTATGTCAACGTTAAAAAAAAAAAAGAAAAAAAGAAAGAAGAAGAAGAACGGTGAGTTCGATTACACCATAACACTATCTCAAAATTAATATTGATACACTAATCTTTTATCTAACAATCGATTAATTATTAAATCGATTAATTGATATAATCTCCGACAAAGTAAAACAAAAAAATTGAACGAGGAATATACTTACGTGTTTTTCAACAACATATGGTTCTGGTTTTTCAACAGGTACTTCAACATGTTTGACAACTTCAACGGGATAAGGTTGAGGAATTTCAACTGGAACTTTATAAGGTTGGGGTATAGGTACTTTGATTTCTTGAGGGATTTCTACTGGTACAGGATGCGGTATTGGAATAGCTGTAAAAGATATATCAAACGATAAGATGGATTACTATTGTATGTTTTATCGAATTGAAAGAAACATGACTTGATTCTATTTTCTAATCTCACCATATTTTTTATAAATCGGTATTTCCACTGGTTTAGATTTTTCTTCGTAAGTCGAATCACCATGATCCTCCTCATAATGGCCAGCGAAGGACGAGGCGATCAATGACGAGATCAGAGCCAAGAAGATAATCTGCAAGAAAAAAAAAAAAAGAAAAAAAAAATTGGTAAAGAAAAAAAAAGAAAGAAAAAGAAAAGAAAACAAAGAGAAATTTCTATCTGTACTTCATTCCCATTATTAATTATTATATAATCTTATTATTAATATTAATTGTCATTCTTCGTTCTTTTTTTTTATTTTAGTAAATATTTCATTTTAAATAATACTAATAATAATAATTATTATAATTTGGATTCAAATATCTTACGATCGAATTCATGTTGTAAAATTGAATCGATTGGAAAGGGTGTTGAACGGTAGAAATCAAACGTCTAGTGTTCACAGGGTTCGAATGGCGTGCTTATATACTTATGGTGAATTCCACCACCTTTCACTAAAATCTTACGGGACGGAGTATCGCCCTCTCGGAGGGCTCCGAGTGAGAGGGTGGGAGGAACGACAAGTTCATATTACCACTACCAGAATCATGTCTTTAACTTTCGTCTTGCTCTAGTGATGTCAAGAGCCAATCCCATATCTGACTTTGAAAAAGGATTGTAACTTGTCCTTGAAAAGAAAGAATAAGATCGATAGGATCTTAATAATCGTAGCTCAACTAATTCGTGACGATTTAATCGATTTATTTATTTTATAAAAAATAAAATTAACTCGTTTAAATTATTTTTATTAGAATTGAATAGATATAATTGATTGAAAAAAGGAGGGAGAAAAAGAAGAAGAAGAAAGAAGAAAAAGGTGCATTCAAATGACATAAATAAATAATCATAAATGCATTTAGATGTTGTCGAATATTCGAGTTCTTACAATAACCAGAAATAAAAGAATCTTTGTCTTGTACGATTCGTACAGGAGAAAATCTTCTGTTAGAAATAGGATTATATTCTAGCTATTTCGTTCTCCATTCGTAGGCTGTCATAACCGTATTTCTGGTAAGCTCTATTCGACCGTCCGAGAAAATCGTCTTCTCCGATAGCGAAAAAGGTATATTTTCTTTTCATTTTGGTATATAGTGAAAAATTCTTTAAGAGGAATAAGATCGAAATCGATAAAAAGGAGGTAAAAAAAAAAAAAGAAAAAGAAAAAGAAAGAGAAAGAGAGAAAAAAAACGAAAAAAGAAAAGAAAAAATTAAAGAAATACGACAATTTCAAATAAGGTATTTCAATCGAACATATTTCTCATTTAAAATATACATTGGAAATGGTTCTTTTTCTTCTTCTTCTTCTTCTTCTTCTTCTTCTTCTTCTTTTTCTTCTTTTGCTTCAGATATTTTTCCTCATATAAAAAAATATTCGTCTGAGAACGTTATTGATCTATATTTTATAAATGATTTATAAATTAATCATTACATAGTCGATTTCCTGCATGTACAGGAAATATCGAAATGTTTCATTCGATTCGCTCGATATAAATTAATTTCACGGTGAACGGTAAGAAACTAGAAGCTTATGTTCCATCGATAATAATATAAATATAATTCTTCCTTTTGAACGCCAAGAGGAATTACAAAAAGATCGACTAAAAGTTTCCTATAAACGAAAGCTACCTTCCTTCACAAGCTAAACCATTTCAAATGCATATTCGATCTCCGTTTACTCTCGCAGGTATACTGAGCTAAACCACAATCATGTACCGCAATGCAACTTAACTCTGCGTAACTCTGAAATTTACCGGAAGTGAACGTCAGGTAGACGTTCTCCTTTTCGAACAAGATTGTTCGATTCAATTTTTTGGTATGTTACTACGAAATGAAAGTTTCTGATAGACGTTATTTTCGTTCAAAATAGACTGCGAAATGATAAAAGATTTTTTCTTTCCATTTTTTTTTTTTTTTCCAAAAATTTTTTTCGAAATCAAATCACGACTTTTTAATTAAATTCAGTATATGAGATTAGAAATAAGCATTATAATTTCGATACTATTCATTTTGATATTTTCTTAATATGAAGTATAGAAAACGAAAGCAAAAGAGAGAGAAAGAGAGAGAGAGAGAGAGAGAGAGAGAGGGGAGGGGAGAGGGAGGGAGAGAGAGAAAGAGGGAGAGAAAGAAAGAGAAAGAGAGAGAAATCGGAAGTCTGAAACGACAGGAGCTAGATAACTTATAGTAGTTATATTCTTGGATGAACGGCTCGATGCCCCCGAACTATCATTTCGCCATGGAAAGTTTGTCTCGGATTTCGTTCGATTCGAAAGGCTCCGTTATTTCCTATATGAATATTTTTTTTTTTTTCCCCCTTTCAATTTTATTATAACCTTCGAATTTTACATATTCTATACGAAAAAATACAATAATATTTATCCATCGTTATGCGTATTATTTTAACTTATTCTTTTTCTCTCTCTTTTTTTTTCTTTTTTTTTTTTGCTTCTTTTTCTTCTTTTTGCAAGAAACTTTGTTAGAAAAATTTTTTATAAAAATATTTCATTGTTACGTTGCTCGTTCTCTGTCTATCGATGAATCGGATGGATTATTTTAAAATAAAATTCGAGTCAAGAGAAATAGAAGTTAGAAATTAATTATTTCGACATATTCGTATATTATATAGCTTGGAGCTATTTTTCTTTTGCTTTTTTTTTTTTCTTTTGCTTTGTTTTGTTTTGTTTTCACACATTTTTCAGGTTTTCTTCATATTTTTAACGTTAAATATCATACGATAATAATTCTCGAGAGTTAAATCGACGTTAGAATTTTACTTTCCCTGCAAAACTTCTTTTACCACATCTTTCCTTTCTATTTCTTTTTCATTCTTATTTCAAATCTTTTTACGTTAATAAATATTAACATTTACGTTTACTTATATGGACACACGTCCATATAAAAACCGATATGGTATCTAACGAAACATTCCTTTTGTAGCATTGGCATGAAATTATATAAGAACGTTAATAATTGCCAATTCAATATTTTCTCGTGTCTTCTTTTTAGGTTCGAAAGAAAAAAACAAAAAAAAAGAGAATGCGAATCATCTCTATTTCTCCTTATTTCTTTTTTTTTTTTGTTTTTTCGTTTTTTTTTTTCCTTTTATCAAAGGACTACAACAATAATCGATATACGGAGAGCGTGAAGTGTGTTTGCTTTCCCTGGTCGATTTTTCACGCCGAGTTAATTCGTTGTTTCCTTAAGAAAAGAAAAGAAAAGAAAAGAAAAGAAAAGAAGAAAAAAAGAAAAAAAAGAAAGAAAGAAAAAAAAAAATTAAATCTTTACTCGAAACGAAACGCACTCTCTAAAGTGTTTCGATTTAAAACAAAAAAGAAATAAAAAAGACCAAAGAAAGAAGAAGAAGACAAAAAAGACATTGATGAATTCATGAACGCAAGTTAATTGATATTTTAGAAAGGAAACATTTTGGAGAGTATCGCCTTAATTCCTTCCCCATCTTTTACATTCAGAGTTTCGTGATCGTAATTGTTCGAAGAGGAAATTGAATTTAAAGTTTACTTTCGCCCCGGCATCTTTTTTCGATGGTATTTCCTAGTATTCTTATGTATCTATATTGTCAATGAAAGGATTAAAGAAATCGTATGAACGTAATGTTAACTCCATTGTAAAGAAATGCAATTACTTTTTTTTTTGTTTTTTTTACTATTTCCGAAAGTATACATTGAATAAATACATTTAATTAATTTTAATTATTGTAAGAGTATAATATTATCATTATCCTTATTATAAGTATTAATTATATATTATATATATATATATTATTTAAATAAAATTTTTCAAGTAAAAAATTGAAATCTCATAGTTTAACACATAGTATTTAATAAATAAATATAATATATATATATATATATATATATATATATATGTATATGGATTTTTTTCTATGCAAAAGAGAAGTAAAATTTGTGACTAAATAAAAATTTGCAATTCGTATTAAGTAAAAATGTTTTTTTTTTTTTTTATAATTAATGAATTCTCATGTATCTCAGCTGTCAAGGAACGAATTAAAGAAATCGTAAGAAAGTTATGTTACATTCTTTTTTGTAAAGAAATCCTATCGCACATATTCTTCTACTTTTGAAAGGCTTTTACTTTAGTTAACTTTTTAGTATGTCGTATATATATATATATATCGATGATTAAGTGACTGATACGAATAAGTACCTGTACATTCTAAACGTTTATTATACAACAGAAATGTTTTGTGAATTCGAAAGGAACGATATTTCTTCCGGTCATTCGCTTTAAGTACTTAGACACGTATACAAGACTATAGTTAAAGGCCATCGACATTTTGACGATTTCGAAAAGAAGATCGTTGGCATGATCCTGATTACTCTCTGCTTTAGTTTTGAAGACTGATTATTATCTTGGATTAGTGAAAGGCAAAATGGTCGAACTTTTCTTCTCTCATTAATTCATGCCTTAGTTAGAAAATACTTTTACTTCCTTCCTTTAATGTATAGTATTATATAATCGTTGACAAGTTTACATAATTTATTTTTACGATTTTCTATCGTGTAAAATGCGTATCAATCCTCTAATGAATGAAATAATATGACATGTTTGATAATCGAACAGGATATATAAATAGAATTGTTATAAATATAGTAATAAATCGATCATTAATAGCAAGTAATTATCTTTTTTTTTTATTTTTTTTTTCTTTTTTTTTTTTATTTTAAGAAATTTCCACTAACCTATGCATTATTATTCATCAAGTTTTCCGATTCATTATATTTTTCAACTTTTAAATGGTACTCATTAAAGTTTACAATTCCATTTCCCTTAACGAATTTATCTTATAACTTTGAACAAATAACATTCTATAATTATCTCAGACAAGAACACAATCTTCCGGCATTGAGTAATAGTATCCACTAGATGGAAGATTCACTTAATTACCAAGACGTTTACCTTCAAGACGAGAAGGGCTAATTTCTCACTAGGCTCGTTACTAAGAGCTTAATCTTATTAACAATAAAAGCGACCTGGAAATACCAAAATTTACATTTGCATTTCGCAACGAAGAAATATTTATTTTATGATCGATTGTCTTTTATAATTTTTAAAATGTAATAATAAAAAGATTGATTCGTGATAATTTTTACTTTTAATATAGATAACAATTTATTTACACGTAACAAAATATTTCTGTGTACGTTTCTCTTAGAAAAATAAAGAAAAGAAATTAACAAAATAGATTAAATAAATATATATATATATATATATATATATATATATATATAAAATTCATCCATTGAAAGAGCTGGAACTAGTGATGTCCAGACTTATGTACTATTGTCTTATAGATCGGTATTTTGATTGGTATCGGTTTTGATACTGGTACAGGAATATGTTTGTACACTTTAAAAGGTACTGGCTTTTCGATTTTATAAGGTATTATCTTCTCAACCGGAGTTGGGACTTTCTTCTCAACTTTCGTAATCACTGGTTTTACTACCTGCAAAATTTAACAGAAATAAATAATCGTCATATAAATTGTAGTATCATTAAACTTCGATATACATATATGGTGATTAATTGATATGACGTTTAAAAACTTACTTCGTATGGTACAGGTTTTGATACAAAAACGTTCACGGGATAAGGCTGCGGTTCCGTTTGTACCGTGATTTTAGGAATCTTGAATGGTACGTCTTTTACTACTGGCACGCCTACAAATAATAAATTGAATATTATTTATTACTGTTTTTTTTTGCGTTAAAATAATAAAAGAAAAATCAAAAAAAAAAAAAATAAAAGAAAAAGAACATAAATAAATATTTCGTCAATGCCACTTGTTCTATGTACGTGCCAATATGCTTGACGGAAGTAACGATGTGACCTCCATGACCACCATAACCCCCATAACCTCCGTGACTTCCAAGAGAAATGCCAGAATCCAAATCACCCGAGTGACCTCCTAGGAACAATGATTAAGAAAGATTATTTTTCTTTTTTTCCACGATCGATGGCCTTTGAGAATCCCTGTCAGACCCGTTTCACCTAAATCTATTCCCGGTAATTCGTCTTCATGATGCAGTGAAATTTCTCCAAGAGTAAGACTACCACCGGTGTGACCTCCTAAATCAAGGCCAGCATTATGATCACCAAGGGATAGACCGTGTAAACTTAATCCAGAACCATGAGAACAGCCGATGATGGTGCACAAAATGAGAAACCTCTAAACAAACAACACAGGACCACTTCTAATCACTATTTTATATCTTTATAATAAATATTATACTCTTTATTAAAAATATCGAGTAAAAATTATGCGCACTTGCTTAAAATAATATTTTCTTTATCTTTCTTTCATTCTTTTTTTTCTGTCTTTTTTTTTTCTTTTTTTCATTTTTTTCTCTTTTTTTTTATTTTTTTTTTCTTCATATTTTTACATAAATCATTTAACGTTTTATGGATGACACAATATTTATTATAGGATTTAGCATTGTTATAGGATATAATAGTATCATTGAAATAACACTCATTTTTACGTACGATCCTAATCATCTTTTTGCCAAGTAAACGCATCTATGCTCGTTCTGAGGAAATAAGTTCACTCGTGATAAATTCTTTAAGTGTCACTTTATATACCTACCACTTGCCATCAGACTGACGAGTATACCCCACTATTCTCCACCTTCACCGTAACTGCATTGCTCGATTTGTACTAACACTTACAACTGTTGCATTGTTAGGCACCTTTTCTTTCATCCTTTTTCTTTTATCTTTTACCTTTTTTCTTTTTTCTTTTTCATGAAACTTACGTAACATTTCATTTCCGTCTTTTACCCTATCAAATCTTCTATAGGATCTTTCAAATTTCTAATTAATAAATTTATAATAACATTTGCAAATAATAATAATATTTCGTAATCTTTATAAATCGTTGATTCTTAATCAATGTGTTTCTGAATAAGAAAAAAAAAATAAAAAAATAAAATAAAATAATAATATATATATATATATAAAAAATAAAAAAAAAACTTTCTAAATACGACATTAAAGTGCAGCATAAAGATCTATGTCTTTAGAGATGTATTATATCGAAAAGAAAGCGCAGAAAAAAAAAAGACATAATAAGAAAAAAAGTAGAGGGAGAAAAAAATAAAGATAATGGATTTTCCATTATTTGTTAATAAGTTCGTTAATACGACCTAAATATTGTGGAAGATGAGAAGGCTAAGGCCCCCATAGTTGTCTCCATTCGGTCGTATTAGATAGATATGGTCACGCCTCATTTGCATCGAGCGATTACGTTGATCTTATTTCTAACGGTTGGATTAGCTCGGTCGGCATTCGCTTTCCATGGAATCCGTGGCGAATATATTGAAATTTCCAGTGAAAGCCGCAATTATGTTTCTTGGCGTGCGGTATACGTGCATACATCACGTTCATCTCTTCTACGGGAAATGAAAGATAATAGAGATGATGATGGTGGTGGTGGATACGTGTGGTGCATTTTCCAAAATTAAATTGACATTTCATTCGTCCTTTTATATATATATTATATTTTTAATGTATCCCATTAAAGATTGTTAACTTCTATTATTACTATAATATTTCGAATAAATTCTATATTTGAACAAACGTATTATGTATATAAAATTAGATAGTAATAATATTAGTTAAATATATCGTGTAATCGTTTTATTTGGAATGACGTATTGACAATTTGAAAGGATCGTATGATTAAATCAAAGATGACAATAATGATCTATAATTGATAGATATTTTTAACACTTAGCGTGTTTGTTGTTGGTATTTTCAAGGACAGTGCTTTTTAATTACGAGAGAAATTTGATTGTCTTTGCTGGAACGTAATAGACTCTACTAGGTGTTATCTTTTCTACGATGCCTTTATTTTCTCTGAAAAGAAAGAAAAAGAAGAAGAAAAAAAAAAAAAGAACATAATACGTAGAGAGGTGAATGTATAAAAGGAATACATTCACCTGGATGGGACTTTCACTGAGATATGGGAACATATGGTACAACATCTTGATATTTTGTATGTAATTTATTGAAAAATAAACGTAAAAAAAAAAGAAACCAAAAGAAAAAGAAGAAGAAGGAAAAAAAAAAGAGAGAGAAACAACGAGGTACAAAAAATAACGTAATCATAACAATGCATTGCCGAGAGGATGAGCGCATAATTAATGCACTCGGCAATGCTTACATGGATATTTTGTGTATATACAACATATGAAAAAAAAAAAAATAATAATAATAGTAATAACAAGAAATAGATATCACGTAGAAAATTCGAAAAGAAGAGATAACGAAGTTTATTCGTTGTCAACTACTTTACGTATTCCTAAGGACACCATTTTTCGCCATCTCTCTTGGCTATCGTGAGTGCCTATACATTTCTGAAAGACACTCCTTTATTTTCCATTCTAATGACCCTTTTTCGCATGATGGTAGATCGTTTTATAGACAGGGATTCTGATGGGATAAGGCTTAACCACCGGAACTGGCACATGTTTTTCAATCGTTATGGGAACTGGCTTCTCCACAGGCACAGGTATATGTTTCTCTACGGGATATGGAACCTTTTTTTCGACGGGCACAGCTACCGTCTTCACAATTTGAATAGGTACGGGTTTTGATACAGGTACTGCTACTGGGTATGGTTGTGGAACTCCGATAGCAACTGGGTGTGGAACACCAATTTTTATTGGTTGTGGCACCGGTATACCTATAATCAAACAAATGTTAGACATACATGATTTTCATTTCTTTTTCGTTTTTTTGTTTTTTTTTTGTTATTTTGATTTCTAACTTTTTTTGTTTTTTTTTTATCTTTTTCTTTTGTTTCTGTTATAGCTTACCTATCTCCTTAACAACTGGCACAGCTATGGGCTTGGTAACTTCAACGTGTTCTGAAATTGGTACGCTGTGAACAAAATTATGTCCGCCATCTAAAGAAATTCCATGACCACCCTCGTCACCACCATGTCCACCATATCCACCGAATGAAGAATAATCCTGATGTCCTCCGTCTAAATGACCTCCACCAGACTCTAAATGTCCAGCGGAAGCTTCAAAACCACCACCTCCGTGGCCACCGGAATAGTCACTACCACCATAGCTACCACCACCATAGCTACCACTATCTCCAGAACTTCCAAAATTGTCATGGTCCGATCTCTTGATATCTTGCAAATGTCTTACTATCCGCATTAGATCCTCATGGTTGTAACGTTGATCGACGATTACCGGTGCGGCCGCGGCCAAGGACAACAGTGAAAGTAATACCTGCGACGAAGGTTAAGTTCAAGTTAAGAATACCTACATTCAATACATATATATATATATTCGTAATCGATTCGCAATAATCATTGGGGGAATTAAAAAAAAATTAAATGTGTTCTATGCGTCGAACATTTCTTTTTTTTTTTTTTTTGCTTTTGTCTTCTTTCTTTCTGCTCTTTCTTTTCCTTTTTCTTAGATAATTTCCGGTTTCTTTCACCGATATAAGAGAAATCCTAGAAATTTCATATTATAAGTATTATACTTATTATTTTCTCTAATTTCTAATTCTCCTTTTCCTTTTCAAATTAATCGTTTAAAATCTGTGCCCTTGGTTTCTCCTTTTAATTTTGTCATGTCTCTACTACTCACGATTCTATTCATGATCGAACGCGCGTCTTTCGGCAAATGCACCGATCGGCTGTTGGTAGAAGAGATTTCTTACTGAGACTGATACATCTTCGACCATTGCTCGTCTTAATATACCATGGGGCCTTTCACTGTCGACGATGTAATTTAGTCTTGGTACAGCGTGCCTGGAATCCCATTTATTCGGTACAATTGTTTTACAGTAAACGCTTCGCCGACCACGTTAAAATTATTGACTATTTGAGAGAATTCTCTATTCGTTTAGAATTCGGTCATTACTTATACAATCTGGTGGGTGAGCGTCCATCTATTACGAACCTTCGTGAATTTCATCTTAGATTTGCTACACCTATATGGTCCCACTACGTTACGTCAGCTACATAGAAACGATTCGTTTGAAACCCTTTGATCTAATCTTATCTTCGTTCTCATATAATATATAATGCCATAGCTATCGAACATGTTATCAATCGTAAATACATGATATTCGTGACGAGATATTTTCTTGTAAAATATAAAAAAAAAATATGTATATATATATATATATATATATATATATATATCGATATCTATTTAACTGTAGATATAAATGTTTATCTATAAATTCAGTTTACGAGTAAAATGATTTATTCATTTATTATTATACTTACCAAACAACGAATAAAGATACGTACGTGAAAGGAGTATAAAGAATAGTATGGCAAAGAGAATAATTCTTAAATTGACAAACCGTAACGAAAACTCATTTTTTTCTCTTTTTAATGTAATATATCAGAGAAATATTCGTTCTTGAGATATTCGTAGAGAGTAAGAGAAAGAGAGAGAGAGAGAGAGAGAGAGAGAGAGAAGGGGGAGAGAGAAAAGAAAAAGAAAGATACAGAAAAAATTATATGAAAGTATCTGTCATAAAATCCCATCAACTACCGTTCACCATCTCACTTGTCAGTTTCTCACATTAGATATTATGATGAGTTAGTTTACGAAGATGAATTAACACTTTTTCTCTTACTTATATTCTACGATTAATATATTCCTTACAAATGGACACGGGCATAGCCGAAATACGTATAGATACGATATCTCTTCTTTAATTAATTTTCTACGATGCATTGGAAAAGCTAATAAGCTTTTAGAAGCTTTTACCCGTATAAATTAAATTTACGCGACGAATCTCTCTGTAAAATATGACGAAATAGCGTCACGCACTCATCCCGCCATTGATATCGCAGTATCGAATAATATTCAAAGGACCATATATCGTTACTCATTCGTAGAAATAGAAAAGATTCCCTTTAACGTATTAAGAAGAAATTTTTTTATATTATTATAATCGTTAATAATTATTAATCATTACTATATCGATAAATTATTATTACGTTCATTATGTTCGTTTGTCATTAAAATAATTAATAAGGTGCATGATTGCGTCATGTGACTGAACCATAAACACCTTTGTATCACGTATCACGATTAATAATGAATTTCATTAGATTCCTATACGTTTGTGAGCAATGTTAATAAACATATAAAATATGTGGAGAGAGCATAACGAAAAATTCAACGAGATAATCTTTTAATTACAATCGAGAAAACTGGGGCCATTAACACCGGTTCATGATCAAAACTTTATAACTTCTTCGATTAAACACAAAAACTATAAAAATGAATGTATCTGTCTTTCGCCTGTCTCTCTCTCTCTCTCTCTCTCTCTCTCTCTCTCTCTCTCTCTTCTCCCATTCCCTTCTTTCACTCCGTATACCTCTCACTCTCTTTTCCTCTTTTATCATAAACTAATACATTTTAAATGTCCAGTTATTTCATACTCATTGGATTGGAACAAGAAAAGAATATCTGAATTAATTAACCGAGGATCTAATTTTAATTTTTAAGAATTAAGTTTTTAAGAATTTAATTTTTAATTAAGAATGTGTAAATGAAATAAATATGGTTTTCTTTCTTTTTCTTTTTTTTTTTTTTCTTTTTCTTGTTATCTTTCCCTTTTTCGTATAACGATAAATGAACATTCGAATTTTTAAATATTAACGCAGTTAACTATTGGTTAATAGAAAATTTTTATCTGATAATAGATTATGTCGATGTATTTTGTCTCTATGAGTCAGGGATAAATCATAAATGATGTAATTGTTCTATAAGATTTCATTAAAAATTAATATTTTATTTTGTACAACAAAGTAACAACGATTAAAAATTATAAATACAAAATGTAATACTATACGCGATCGTGTTCGATCAAATGGCTCGGGATGAAATATCGAAGAAAATAAGATTTGTTCCTTCGGTAGCATGCTTTATGGCAGTATATTTTTTTTTTTTTTCTTTTCAAAAGCAGGATTTTTTTTCTATCTTTCTTCTTCTTCTTCTTCTTCTTCTTCTTCTTTTTCTCTTCTTTTCTTTCTTTTTTTTTTTTTTTTTATTCTATGGCGAGCTCCTCGAAAAAAACTCATACAATTATATGCCAAATCGACTTTTTTCTTCTTCTTTCCTTTTCTTTTCTTTTTTTCTTTTCTTCTTTTTTGTAATCTTAAAATGCTTATGTCACTTTCTGTTTATCTCTTGTTTTCTAATGGCTCCAACCATGACCGTGACTCTTGACTTTATGGAAAACGTGTTTGTAAACTGGTATATGAATCGGATATGGTTTTTCAACTGGTACAGGTACATGCTTTTCAATGGTAATTGGTACAGCTTTTTCGACTGGCACAGGTATCACTTTTTCCACCGGATACGGAACTTTTTTCTCAACAGGTATAGCGACAGTTTTTACGACAGGTATGGCCACTGGTTTGGCAATCGGTATATGTACCGGATATGGTTGAGGTATTCCAATTGCCACCGGACGTGGAACTGGTATGGCAACTGGTTGGGCAACTGGTACCCCTATTGATGAAAATGAAAATGAAAATGAAAAAAATAAATATATAAATAAATAAATAAAAGAATCGAATGAAAAGTAATTTTAGATGGTTTGATTATAGAAATTTATGGTAACGAAAGATGCGGATAAAAGAGATTGTACCTTGAATATTTTCATTTTGTTTTTCTTTTTTTTTTTTTTTCTTTTTTCTTTTTGTTTTTTTTTTTTGATAAAAGAATTTACATAGACGCATTGTAATTTGATTAGGATATGAGAAAGCAAAAGTCCGAGAGAAAAGTAAATGAACAAGAACTTACCAACATTTTTTACAACCGGTATTGGCACTGGCTTCGTAATCTCTACGTGTTCGCTGATCGGTACTGTCTGAACGCCGTAATGATGGTGAGCCTGACCTTCGTAGAGACCATGATCGAGACCGGAGTTAAAGCTATGGCCTCCACCTCCGTAAGAATCGTAAGAACCGTAAGAGCTTATGTCTTGATGAATATTTCCATAAGAATTGTGAAGAGATATGTCATCGTGTCCACCGTAACTCAAACCATAATTCGTTGATATCCTGTGTGTGTGTGTGTGTGTGCACGCGCGCGCGCGCGTGCGCGTGTGTGTGTCATAATGCATCATATTAAATTTTATGACGCGTAAATTATATGACAGATTTAAAAGATCTGTCTACCTTTTTCTTTTTTACTTTTTGTTTCTTTTATTTTTTTTTTTCTTTTTTTTTTCTTATTTTTTTTATTTTTTTTATTTCCTCCGTTACTCACCCTTGCCATCCTCCAGATTCACCGGCCGTGTAACAAATCCTCGTGAACAAACATATAATGACGAACTGAAAAAAAAAAAACAAAACAAAAGAATTTGTTTTTCTGTCAAGAACGACGAAAGAAAAAAAAAAGAAGGATAGCTTGATTCAAATTTAGAACGTTTTTTTTCTTTCGCGTATTTTATCGGAAGTAAACAAAGACAAAATATTATGTTTCCTATGGTTCTATAACAAAATGTTTCACCTCGATATCTCTTAACGTATGATACTGAATGTATCGTAAAGAAAGAGATTGTACTACTATACTATATTTACTTATCGAAGTCCACGAGACTTTCGATTTATCAAGAATTTCGATAGGACAATTCACTGCTTTCGCAAATCTCACGTAGTATACTAATAAACGATATTAAGTTTCTCAGTAATATTTCTCTCGTGATATTTCCTCTTTCATTTTTCTTTTTTTCTTCTCTCGTTACTTACACATGACAAACAATACATTTTTCGAATTTTCTTTTCTTTTATTTTTTCGTTCGTTCGTTCGTTTTATTTATTTATTTATTTATTTATTTATTTTTTATTTTTTATTTTTTTTTTTTTTTTTTTAATTAAAAAAAAAGAAATAACAACTGGACGTTTGTACGTAGAACGTAAGGGATACTGCAAGTTGCCGGAGGTTGATCGTTCGTTTTTATACACAAGACGCTTTCTCCCTCCCTCTAAGTTTCTAGTTAACAGTAAACAGTGGATCTCTCGTATGAAAACCGGACTTGAACGTACGCACCCATATTCTATTCGTAAATCGAGAAGTATGATAGACGATAATGAAATTCAACACGTGCCAACACGTGTTCCCTATTTTACAGAAAGTTAAGAGGAAGTTCATGATCGATAACATTGAACTTGAAATAGAAGAAGAGTTATTGAATGAACGAGAAAAAATGAGATAATAAAAATTATCAATTTCTGTATATAGAGTTCATATAAATTTTTATAAATATTTCTAAGGAAATTATATACGATTAACAAAATTATTTAGTAATATTATCCTTTGCTCGTTTAACAACCAGATCCTTCGAGGAATGCTCGTTGAATGCAGAGCGAACGTCCGTACGACGAACGTGATGGTGAACGACCGGTGAACGCGGTGAACGCCCATGTGCTAGAGAACAAAATCTATTACGGCCACAAAGCCGATGAAAGTGATTTCCTTTTCGATCCAGACATCCCTTTCATTCGTTCTATCCCAACGTACCGTATCGCGATTCGAAGGAAAGCCTTTGTTTCTTTCTACGAACGTAAAGACGGTTCACGTGAGATCAAGAAAAAGAAAAAAGAAAAAGGAAGGAAAGAAAGAAAGAAAGAAAAGAAAGATAAAAAGAGAGAGAGAGAGAGAGAGAGAGAGACAAATGTCCAACAGATTCGATTAAATCGTGACCGTGATCTCGAACGTGCGCAAGGCGAAACGTTTGTCACAATCTTTGTTTCTTTATTATTTTTTTTATTTTTTTTTTTTTTTTGCTTTTGTTTTTCTTTTCTTTAAATCAAATACATATTTGAAAGTAATTGATACGATCGGAGAACCGCTGCTTTAAATAATAGAGAATTATTGCAAAAATATATTCTTCCTTAAAAACGTTTTATGAAAGTACCCTTTCTTGCTCTTCGTACTTGTCACGGAGTAGCGTATAATGCTGAAATCAGGTTAAATCTTGGTGCAGTGAGAGTAGAACACGCAATACGAAAGGAAAGCAAATAAAATTGGGTGAAGGAGAACGCAGGAGATAGAAAAAGGATGAAGAAAAGGAAAAAAAGAAAAAAAAAGAAAAAAAAAGGCTAGGCGACTCCGATGAAAGTATTATCCGGTTCGGCGTGAAAGGTGGAGGAGCATGACGTCTGGTTATAGTAGCAACCATCTCTTGCGCTACGATTCTACTTCTTGATAGTTAGGATGTTGAACGATTAAAATCATGATCATGTATATGAATACGTTATGTATGTGACTAGTATTTAACTTTAAAGTATTAAGTATAAATTCAAGATTATATTATATCATCACCGAAAGGAAATTTTCTTCTTGTTAACTTTCATTTCGTTGCTTAATAATTAAACATTCTGTAATTTTTTTTCTTCTTCTTCTTCTTCTGTTTTTTCCTTCTTCTTCTTCTTTTTTTTCCTTTTTTTTTTTTTTTTTTTAACACGAAGAGCCACTCGCACAAAAGATCGAGATTCATAAAGGACAGTAAAATTTAATTATCATCGAGTAAAACTGGGTCGATGTTATGACGAAAGCTATTCTAAATCGTTTCTCGGAAGATAAAGATTTCTTACCGGAGGAAAAAATAGCGAAAGGAGATATATATATATATATAAAATATGTTTTCAGGGAAAATAATTCTTTAATGATCTATTAAAATCTTTGAGAATATTTTCCACGATATATAATATCCATTCATGTTGTCCTTTTCGTCGAGTGAATATTTTTTGATTAATCTTTTATTCAACAGTTCATTAGAATTTTTTTTCCTAATAATCGAAACTTCCTACACGTTGATTTTACATCCGTTTCTTGGATATTATTATTGGGTGGGTTCCGTGAGAAGTTCCTGTGATGGAAAAAGGAAGAATTATGTATGATCAGGAAAGAAGCAAGTGAAAGGATCCTGGTATTCTAGAGAGTACATCATATTCAGAGCAACGACTTCGATTGGCTTATGCTTGTATGATTAGAGGGGCAGTAACCTTATTCTACCTTCGAGCAATTAACATTTTCTGATCAAAGGATGATAAATTTCTAATGCATATATATATATATATATATATATATATATATATATATATATATATATATATACTAAAATAAATTATAATTATGAATAAAAACGAAATTGTATTTTGCAAACAAACTATATTGATAACAAATACAAAACATGAATGAATATAACAAGCATCCATCACCAATAAACAAGAATTATATATAAATTTGCTATTTTTGATTTAGTGCTCCATATTTTTCTCTTATATCATCAACCCCAGGGATGGTGTACAGGTTTTTCAAACGACACATGTTCTACTGCATTTGCAACAGCATTTTCCTTTGCCGCGACAATATCTTTTTCCTAAGAAAAGAAAAACAAAGAAAAAGAAATGAGTCGATTATACTTATCAATAATATTTCGTTCACGCATTTATCATATTTAGGACATTTAGATAAAACATTTCAATCAGGTAATTATCTTTACCTTAGCTTCTTGCTCACTCTGGGAGATCTGTTTATCAACATCTTGTTTTCTCAATTCTGCCGCAGTATCAGCAGCATTTCTCTGAATGGCCGCAGCCGCGGCAGCCTCCCTTGCGGCTGCAACCCGTTGTGCAGCGGCCACGGCATCTTTCAAGGTTGCCAGTCTCTGCTGCGCAGCTACTAATTGCTTAGCACTCGCTCTGGCTTCTTCTTGAGCATGCGATGAAATTTCTTGCGATCTAAATGAAAAGTAAATGGAACAACATTTCAGATCGTTCATTCTCTCTCTCTCTCTCTCTCTCTCTCTCTCTCTCTCTCTCTTTCTGTATGTATCTCTGAATTTTTTTCTCAAAAATTAATTAACCTTAAAGCCGCTTCCCTCGCAGCAGCTTCTTTGCCAAGTGCAATCTTTTGTTGGACCACTGCAACTTCTTTAGCCTCTGCCACTCTTTGTTGAGCCATGAACACATTATGATTAGCTTCTTTAGCCTGTTGTATAGCTTTCATGACTTCCGGTGGATAAGCAATGCTTGGTGTTCCAGGTGATGGATCCTTTAGAGTCTATGAAAAATATAATATTATTTTCAAATAGTACACATTCTTCTTTTATACAACGTTTTCTTTCTTCTTCTTCTTCTTCTTCTTTTTCTGTTCTTTTTTCTTTTTATCTAATAAAAAATTCGTACTTGCAAGGCCACGTTGTGAGTCGCTTGTGCTTGAACTTGTGCAAGAGCAATGTCAGGAGAGGATGGGGTATTCCATGGAACATTGCCGAAACCGGTTGGTGCCCAAGAAGTGGTACCATAAGCTGGCACAACACCGAAAACGTCGTAACCGGGTGGACTAAAAAGTGCTACGCCACGTTTCTGTTTTTTTGTGCTTATCATTGATTCCGTGGCAATAGCCAACGTGAATACAATAACGATCTAAATAAGAAAAAAATCGATAAAAAGATATTTTCAATAAATTGAAGTAAAAGAAAAATAGAAAAATCAATATGAATAATCAAAATCATAAGATAAAGTAATGATTTTTATTACCGTTGAGATGGCCTTCATCTTGTTAGGATGCTGTTGCAAGAACTGATACCTTTCTGATCAAATCCCTCGTATATATACGAGTTCGAAATCGATGGGAGAATGTTTGAACGCATAAACAACGTAATAACAATATTAATTAAAACGATTAAGTCAACATAAAAGGTAACTCTCGATGATACGCGGTTACAATTACAAGCTTTCATTGTCTAAATAACACCTCTCCTCTCTCGATTCCTTTGCTATGTACTATCACCGTCTACGAGACCACTTATAACCTGGAAGTCAGTGATTCCAGATTATTATCTAGTATCATCGAATTCAGGAAATCATCTCGATGGAAGTAAACTTGAAGATATTTCCGGCAGAGTACAGGGTATATTTTGTACTTTGTTATAGAGATTTTATTTAATCGATAAGATGGAGAAACATTTCTAAAATGCATTTCGCTTGTCTCTATTATTTGATGTTGTTTCCTCGTGAGAATGACGTTGACGAATATCAGGTAATATTCCTCTCACCGCTCTACACTATTCTCTTATCTTATGGATGTTGTATATAAAGACGATAAATTATTACGAACAAGATGATAGAGAGAAGATAGAGAGAGAGAGAAAGAGAGAGAGAGAGAGAGAGAGAGAGAGAGCGATTGTGTCTATCGTATAAAAAGAAAAGAGCAGAAAAAAAAAAGAAAAAATGTATATCTACCATAATGTATATCTATATATAATTATGATACATCGTAGAAATGAGTCGAGACAATTTAATCTAACATATGTGTAAACTTAAAAGTATAAAATTATATTTTTATTACTATTAATTGATATTACTTTTTTCTCTATTAAATTCCTGTTAAATCGCGATATACTTTCTCGTTACTGAGTGTTCGAATTTTACTATTAATTAAATTCGGAACGTAAAATCCACCGTAATTACTCGTCAATTCTCTTCCAATAGGATTGGCATTTGATAAAATTTCAGTTGATCTTTTTCTTGTATCAGCTAAATTTCGATAATTCTTCTTTCGATTATAATTGAATGGATGATTATTTTCTTCATCGTCGGATTCTTCTTTGTAACTATTGAATCCGTTCTTTTGATGTTTCACTTCCGGTATTTCTTTCGTGTTAATATATTCTGCAAATAATAATTATAATAATTATAATAATTAATTAAAAATTATTTATATTATTATTATATATAAAGGATGAATGAAAAGTTTCTGAACAATTTTAAAAATCGATTTACACTTTCTTTAAAATATTTTGTAATTTTATAATCCGATAAAGAAAAAATTCATTTTCATAAATCAACCAGAAACTTTTGATTCACACAATTTCTATAAATTATAATAAATAAATATTAATATATATATATATATATATATATATATATATATATATTTATCTTACTATTTTTCGTTAATGGTTTTTTGTAAAAATCGTCAAAATCTTTATCAAAGTCTATCCTAAAATATTTGCTTTTATTTGATTCTTCTTTCCGATTCTCT